AACATTTCGTCTCAACAACACCGCAATATGGCACGAAATAAATTCTATAGATCTGTCAATATCTCAACTTTAATGCTCCGGTTATCCAAAAATACCGGCTTTTCAAGAAACAGCATTGTCAAACGTACTACAGAGTATTAGAAAAATAATTGAAGAGACTATGAATAAACAGCAACTAATCATATAGCCACTGCTTGAAAATTATGAACGTTGACCTTTGTATAAAGCCTTTTAAGGTATTTTGTGAATTTAAATGAGACTTAGTTCAGTTTCTACTATACCTACTTGACACAACTAAGACCACCGACCTTCTGTAAATTTGGCGTTTCCAGAGACATGTTCGGATAGAAGTGTTACGATCGGCACACACTTTGGAAATAAATTCAAAATAGGAGCAAATAGAGCACTTAAACATGAGTCAGCGTTTCGAGAATAACACATCCAACTCTCCAGAACAGTACGGAACTCATCGGCGAATTCAATTTCGCGTTGATCGATATTCTGAAGACAAAAATAACAGGAAGTACTTCACTAAGACATTGAAAAGCATACAAAATTCATAATAACAATACTGTTGATAGTATCCAGTAGTGCTGATTAATATATCCAACTGCCGACCCACGATGGAGTTGAACCCGTGTATTACCTATACTGAACATAAAACAGGTTTGATTCCCGCTTGGTATCGATAGTTTTGCATATCACTCAGCACCTTTGGATATATGATTGCAATATCATAACACCGCTAAATAAAATAAACTCTTGCAGAGCAAATACTTTGTGGTTTCGACTTCACCATAGTCAACAAAAACTCAATTGTCACCTATCACAGGATAAAGTACATAACCATGGCGCATATATATATATATATACATTATATATATATATATATATATATGCATACACGTGTGCTTATATACGCATTCATGTGTACATAAAAAAAAAGGATAAAGCTCTCGGCATTGTTCAATCCGTGGGGGATGCGCCATGCATTCGACTTCAATTTTTAACTTCGTTTGAGGTGATTGAATGCATATCTGGCCTTTACAATGACTCGCGGTGGCCTCCCGCTGAACCGAGTCAGTGCTGCTTCTCCTCCCAGACAAGTCTGAGACCTGTCTGGTACCAATTTACCGACCCCGGAGGGATGGATGGCTTGGTGAGCCTTGAGCGCGAGATCGAAACATTGACCTCGTGTGCGACGCAGAGCACCTCTAACAACTGCGCCACATGCGCTCTATATGTATATTATATTATACAGCAAACATGTATATTATAAGGAAGCATGTATATGTGTACATACATGTGTATATATACGTGCATGCATACGTACGCACATATATATACGTACACATATACTCATGTATGTGTACGTTTATACTTATATACATGCACATATACGCATCTGTATACGTGCACATATCCACATGTGATATACATATATATATATATATATATATATATACATATACATATATACGAAGAGAACAGAATACCAACCTGGTAAGTGAACAATACAGTGAGATAATGCCGAATAGATCGATCCCACCAGCCTTCGGCGGCATATTTTCTAGCCAAATACAGTGAATATTTCATTTCTACTAGCACAAAAACTCAACCAAGTCTGTCTGTCCAGTCGCTAATAACTACAACCATTTCTAAAAAAAAATTGAAGCGTAGAAGTAAAGAAACAATTAGCAACGTAACTCTTCGCAATCACCCTTTGGAAACACCTTGTAGTGATTAAAAGCAATAAATATGAAATATAAGGCACTAAAAATAGCTACAACATCGATGACAAAAGTAGTAAATAAGTGGATATCAAATAAATCCAATAATACAATGGGAAAAAGGAATAATATCAGATAGAACAGTGGCGAACAAACATAAATAAAAGAATTCGTAACGCTGAAGACAATTCTAGGTATGATCTCCCTGGAAATATTATAAACTACAGCGATAATAACATGGGAGCACCATGGCAGAGTGGCTGTGCTGCTCGTCGCGGAGCGCGTAGGGCCTAGCCCATTTCCCCGACACTGCGCCTCAGTCAACAACGAAGACCTTATGGAACGCCACAGCCTGGCTATCCTCGAGGAGCATGGAGACGCGATCGCTAGGTTGTAGCTGGCATTCTATGACGTTCAAGAAGAAGATTTAAAAAAAAAAAGAAATTGAATGTTGGATCTAAGATCCGCAGAATTGCAAGGAAAACGGTTCCTTGTGATTATGAGAGGACAAATGAAAAACCAACATCATTCGCGGGAGAGGAACTTTTCATAGGAGTGTTAGTAACCATTAGAAACCTGAGACTTCAGGCTACAGCTATTCGTCGCCGGTTATTCGTAAAACCTTCTTCTTGACGTTGCTACAGAAGGAGACTTTTTGCATTGCAGACACGCAAATTTCTCACCGTATAGAGTTCTTCTTCTGGAATATTAGTAATCATTTGATAGCTTAATATTTGCTGATTCCAACGCTGTGCCTACATCCGTCGCTGCGTGCGCAATCAAGAGGATTTTGAAAGAATTCACGTGCGCTGGCGCGATGTCGTACGATCAGGTGGAAGTTCTATCGACCATCGTACCAGCGCACGTGACTGCCTCAGCCAGGCGCACGTGAATTGACCAAAGACCTCCTTGACTGCAGATGGAAATTAAACTTAACTTACCTCCTGCGTCTCGGAGAAACGGTCCTTACAGAACATAAGCAAGCGTTGGAATCAAGAACGATTACGCTATCGATTTACTATTAATAGTCCAAAAAAGAAGCCCGCGCGGCGAGAACTATGCGCGTCTGAGACGTCATTTTGTGTAGATCACAGCGTTATAAAAAGAGTCCTTTCGAAAATCGGCGACGTGATGCTGTAGTCAAAATCCTGATCTTTCCACTAGTTACTGACACTTCTCTGAGAGCTTCTTCTCCAGCAAATGAGGTCGATTTTTCATTTGTCACCTTGCAATCAGGAAACAACCGAAAAATACTTGAGGACAGATAATAAAGTGTCCAAATAATAATAATGAGATCGTAAAAACTAACAGTTAAGAGCTAGAACATGACATTAACCCTACCAGGAAATTTCTTTCTTCATTAACAAATGACCTCTCAAGCAGATATAAAGCATATAGGCATAAAGACATCTAGCAAGACATATAACACAAATATAGCAGGAAATTTCTAGACTATAACTCACAAAATGCTTAGTAATCATAGCACAGTGGTGGCCTCGATGAGCGGTAGCACGTGCCGTCTGCGATACGACGCGAGTTCAGCTCCCGCCTAATGTCAGAAACTTTTGCATGCCACTCAGCATTTTTGGATGGATAATTTTCACACTTGACGCTGTTATAAGCGCGATAAAATGAAAGGATCCTTGCAGATAATGCCACACACTCGTTCTTTCAAACAAACTGTGGAAAAAATTTGTGATTCTATGCAAGAAAACGACGTTTTCAAGGCGATCCACGACGCCGATAATAAAGAAATTCGAAGACTCAGATTTCTTGAAGCCAGTGTTCCAGATCTTCTGCAGTCAATGTATATTAATAATAAGTAAAAGCACGATAACAGCGGGATAAGAGGTGAGTTCGTAGTAAATGGTGGTAGAGAAACATGAAACTAGGCCATTACATGCTTTACTGACACAATCTGTCCTGGTACGAAGGCTACTGACACAGATATTCTTTGTTGATTAGGCCTTTAAGACGAGGTAGTCAGCGCAAGTGGCGCGGTGGTTAGAGGTGTCCTGCGTCACACACAAGGTTGATGGTTCGAACTCGCGTTCATGTCTCACCAAGCCATCCATTCTACCGGGATCGCTAAATTGGTACCAGACTGATCTCGGACTAGTCTGGGAGGACAAGCAGCACTGAGGAGGTCACCGCGAGTCATTGTAAAGGCCAGATATGCACTCAATCACCTCAGACGAAGTTACAAATTAACGCGACTGCATGGCGCATCCCTCAGGGACTGGTCAACGCCGAGAGCTTTATCCCTTGAGAAGTTTGAGTGGTACGCGAAAATCCGACCTCAAGCGAGACTTGAACCTGAGTTGCGCCTTACAAGGCCCCTTGCTACCACCACACCACCAATGCTACCGCTTGCGACCACTCTTTCTTCGATAGATAACTATTTATTCACAACAGGCTATACTTTTTTCGCCCTCTTTGGAAAGGTCAAACTGACATGCATAGTACCGTGTCAAACATTAAAAGATAAAAGGATAAAGCTCTCGGCGTTGATCAATCCCTGAGGGATACGCCATGCATTTGTCTTCAATTTCGAACTTCATTTGAGGTGATTGAATGTATACCTGGCCTTTACAATGACTCGCGGTGGCCTTCCGCTGAACCGAGTCAGTGCTGCTTACGCTCCCAGACAAGTCTGAGACCAGTCTAGTACCACTTTGCCGACCCCGGAGCAATGGATGGCTTGGTGAGCCATAAGCACGAGATCGAACTATCCACCTTGAGTGCGATGCAGTGAAACTCTAACCACTGCGCCATATACCAATTGCCAGAACTCCTAAATACGTTTTTATGTGTCCCTCCAGTTAGATTCCGTCTGGTCTAATTTGAAAACTCGCTATATTACACCGAAAATATCACTGTAAAGCTCCAAAAAATGGAATACGTTTGTAAAACGTTTTATTGCACTTCTAAGGAAAACGTCGTATGAAGGTCGAACGACAAAATAAGCATAATCGTTCAGAATTTTTTTATTTGACCGCCACTTGCCGAGGTATGATGTTACAGTATACCCAATAATGTAAACTGCTAAGCAAAAAAATCTGCGTCAGCCGGGATTCGAACCCAGATCTCACTCTTTTCGAGAGCGTATGCTAACCGTTTAGCCGTCGGTGGTGCAACGTTTAGCATACGCTCCCGGAAAGAGTGAGATCTGGGTTAAAATAAGCATAGTTTCGAAATCAGAATTTCTCAAGCTATCGAACGACTAAGAAAACATGTAACCAATGATGTAGCGTTGTGTGTAAAAACTTTTGCATCAGCTGGGACTCGAACCCACAACATTCCACCCTATCCGAGGGCGCGTGCTGAACCGTTGCTCTACCGACGCAAAACTCTGAGAAAATATGAACTAGAAAAAAAAAACAAATGTTATGTAACGGCTGAAAATTTGTTCCTTTTTAGACAGATGTTGTTATTCTTATTGAAAAACAGTTTTATTTTTTTGACATAAGGGCACTTTTCCAAATAAAAAAAGGCGTAAAAATCTCCACAGGAATCTCTTGATTGATATTTCATCGTTGGATGGTGATAAGGTTCTCTTGGACCTAATTTACCAAGTAATCCGCCCCCACATTTCCATTTTTTCCTGCGTGGGGTAGAAAACTCTGGTGCGGGAAATGCCCTACGGGTCTGGATAACCCACAGGGTTCCCAAGGGGTCGAGGCAGATGGAACTCAACTCATAAATGTTCATTTACATAGTAAATTGCCTTTTATAGATGCTCAAGAATACGAATAAAAAAACAGATTGCAAGTCACAATGGCTGTCAGCTTTAAACCCATAGCTGTTCAACCGACCAAACCCGTTCGAGGGTTGATGGCTGATAGCTATGATAGAGACGCTGAAGTGGTGGCAAAGCGGTGCCTTGGTGGCGTAGTGGTAGAACGAAACGGCCGGTATCGGTGAGACACGGGTTCAACTCTCGCGCGGGGTCGGATTTTTGCTTATCACTCAATTCTCCTAGAGATACGGGAATTTTGTTGAGTCCGAAGGCAATCGGTAATCGCTAATGGCAATAAAAGACAGTGACAAAGGAGTACCAGCGAGACCACGGAAACAGACGACCTCACAACAACAGGGCAGTGGAAAAAATGTGACCCGGACGACCCTCACGCCCAGGGAGGACGGCTACTGTACGCAACCTGTTCGTTGCAGGACGCACGGCCGGCTTGGCGACAGCGGGCGCGACGCGTGACGAGCGCGTTCGCGGGGCGAGCGGCGGCGGCGGCGGCGGCTAGTAGCTAACTCTCGGAGAAATCAATTCCCCCGTCGTTTTATTTGCAGCATCGGCGTATCGGTGGGGTGCGGGAAGGGGGGAGTCCCCATAGGGTTAATATTAATTATTGAGGGTTAAATCCTTCTCAGCGGAGTGTTTGCTCTTCTTCCGGAGGGGTGGTCGTCACCCGATCCGATCTCTTCTCAGACGTGACTGTAGATCCTCTCCTCAAGCTCTTCTTTCAGGATATCATCATCGACGCCATCGCCGCCAGAGACACGAGCTCCTCCTGAACGACGAACAGCCACCGACCGTCCGACCGACCGACCGACCGACTGCCATCGCCCACATCTCTCTTTCTCTCTCTCTCTTTCGATCAAACCGATTTCGGCTCCTCAACGACGATGACATAGCCTCGCAATAATGAGCTTTCAAGAGTGAGTCTTCTCCCTCTTTTCCTCTCTTTTTCCTCGTTTTTCTTCTCTTTTTTTTCTCTTTTTTTCCATTTTTTTCGCTTCAGATTTTTAGAATTTTTTTTTTGTTTTGGTTGGGCGTTTTAATTGGACTTTACGGGTTCTGTGCAGTTCTATTCCAGTCGATCAGTGTAGAAGTTGTTGCCCCGATTTTTTACACCTCCTTGTTTTTTTCCCCCTACCATAAAAGACAGTGCGTGGCTTGTCTCCAATGAACAGATTGAAGCTTTGAAGAGAACCGTAAAGAGGGGGATCTCTTGGCAGGTGACCTACCATCTGAATCGTCGCCCGTTTCTCTCTCTATCTGATCTCAATTCCGTTTACTGACTCCCTTGGCACCAGCTCAAAGATGCAGCTACTCATTCTGTGGCCGATTCAAATGGATAATCGCTCTGGGGACTTCACCGCGTATTCGTCGAATTGTTCTGTTCACTGCATTTCCCAGTGCTTCTACTGATTTGGAATACAGCTCCTTGCCCCTTGTCAAGAATCGTGGTCCCAACATTTTCTTTAGAGCATTTTTCTTATTGATTTCTTTGAATGAGGAAGCACGCTCAGGCTGAAGCTTAGGCTTAGGCTTAGTCTTAGAGTCATGCTTAGCTTAGGCTTAGCTTGCGCTAGGCTTGGGCTTGGAATTAGGTTCAGCTTAGGCTTGGGATTAAGCTTAGGCTTGGGCTTGCGCTAGGCTTAGGCTTGAACTAGGCTTAGACCAGCTATGCTTAGGCTTAGGCTGAAGGCTTGGTCTTACGTTAGGCTTGGACCTGGGCTTAGGCCTAGATTTAGGCGTAGGCTAGGCTTATGCTTGGGCTTCGGCTTACGCTTAGGTTAGACTACTTTTAGGCTTAGGCTTGGAAAAATCAGCAGGTCCCCGTCAGTTTCTCTATGATTTCTGATCCAGAGTTGACTCAAAGTCTACTCGGCCCACTGTTGGACATCTTCGTCTTTTTAGGGCCGATAATCCGAGTCCCTCTGTCGTAGACATCACGTTTGACTTGAATGTCGTTGAACGGTTGGGGATCAATATCACTTTGATTGTTGTGGTTTTTTATTGTTTCTGTGCTTCTATTGGTTTAGTGGACACCTATTTTAGTGAAGTAGAACGTTTTTTTTACGACTTCATTTATTTTCTTCCATTGATATTTTTCAGATCCTTATTAGGGAGGTTTTACTTTTGAAGCTACCTTTGTTTTTACTGCTGATTTAGCAATCTTTTGGATGTTTTCAATATAATCCAAGAATGTTCAGTGTTACATAAAACATTTGATGGGTGCTGAACAGTGGTTACACCGCCTTGATATGGCTAAAATGCGGGTTCAGCTCCGTCCCAATGTCAAACGTTTTGCCGTATCGCCCAACATTCTTAGATGGACACCCTAACAATCCATAGATAAGAGCGGTTCAATTTTCTCTAGATGGAAAGCGAGCAAACACGCGTGCTTGTCTTTAACAAATCATTTCTTGAGGTTTTTTTTTTTACATTTCAAGGATAGGAATAAGCAAAAAGTACTAAAAATTACTATAGTTATTCGCAAGTGCTATCTTCCAGCACAGACCGCTCTTATCTATGGATTTAGGGTACTCATAATCATTTGTTCACCTATGCAAGTGTAGCATGTAGGCTTAGATATTCCATAACGAAAAGCCTTTTTCTATGGTATTTGCCGTTTCTATGATGTTGTAAAAAAAATGACTTCCGATGATTTTAGAGAAGATGAATGGCTTGGGTTGGGGTCAGGATTCGTGCTGGACGATGCATTCAAATGCACTAGCCCGATGGGGGCGGACACTTCTCTTCAGGTATGTTGCCATGATCCCAGCGAATATTTTATTTCACTTGGATAGTTTTGATCTAATTCTTTTATAGAGATTCGTTTTAAGGTTCTTCAATCAAAACTGCTTCTTTTTCTATGTTGAAAAAGACCATTTTAAATAATTGTAGCGTTCATTTTATGTAATAGGCGTCGTTGTGTGATGTTATGAGACATTTTTCACTCGATACAACTTTTTTTTCGTGATCTGCAAGACCTTTTTTCTTGTAAGGTGCCTTTGCGTGAGCCCTCACCTGTCACAGTTTCGCCTCAAGACCTCATGGACTTTTCCTTTTCTGACAATTCGCTTGCCGTTCCGATACGGGATTTTGGGGTACTTTTTTTCTTGGACATGTTCCTTTTTCTCGTTTTATTTTTGATTTGGAAACCCTAGTGTTATGTGGACACATTTAGTTCCAAAGCGGAAACGAACCCCCTCGACTGTCACCTGTGTCGTCATCGTTTCAGTCCATGGCTCCTTACAGAACATGTCATACGAGATGACAAATGCCACAGTGGTACAGGTATTTCCACGTTGGGTTGAATGCGTAATATTCTTCAATTCTTCGTGCATTATTGCTTATTTTTTTAGGAAGATGCTTACAATTCGTTTGAACAACCCTCTGTAGTTGTGAACGGTCATTATCAAACGATTGAGCAACAGATTATCCAACCTCAGCAAGGATTTTTTCCAGGTAGTGGTCGATTTTTCTATACCTTTATATCTCTGTATCCTATGCAGATCATTTGTCTCTTTTTATTTGAACTTTATTACAAAAATTGTTCAAAGAATTATGGCATCGTTTATTGCATTCATATGTTGATATATCATGCGACTAGGCTGAATCAGCGTTCTATCACAGCTAAGGGTATATAGCTGTCTTACCACTAATGTGTCTTTCTTTGTATATTTATATATCTTTTTCTATAGTTAATTGCTAGTTCTTGTGATTTAACCCTTTTCGGACGGTGAATGCAACTTTGACGCTCAAATTTTCAGGCCTATTTTCCAGTAAATAAAGCTTTTTTCTTAGAATTTTGATAAATATTGGAAGCTTAAGTTACGGTGACTTCAACAGTATGCTTCGGTTCTGAGAAAGCCTTCCTAGTGTATTGTAGGAAAAAAAATTAGAATTATACCTTTATTTCGAGTGCTTTATTAAGACCACGCTCAAATTTCAGTAGATCCTTTCATTATTATCTGAGCCAACTTGTGATGTGGTCTGGTAAGGGCTCTTGTACAACTCGATGCACGTGTTTCGTCCTTGCAAACTCGTCAGTCGGACAGAACCCGTCGTCTTTCGATCTTTTCATAGTCAGTTCTCTGGGGAGCCCAGCTCTCCCATACAGCGAGTTATCGAAGACGAACGTTTTTACACTCTATGTCAAGTGAAATTTTCACCTAACACAGAATGTTGCGCACTCGATTGCTCTTTAGCTGGTATTTTTATCATATTATACCTTTCGAGTGCTTTGACCTGTCTTTGCGAGTGCTTATACCTTTACTTCGAGTGAATGACGACGGGTTCTGTCCGAAGGACGAGTCTGTAAGGACGAAAAACCGTGTATCGGGTTGTACAAGAGTCCTTACCAGAACAAATCACAAGTTGGCTCAAATAATAATGAAGATCTATTGAAATTTGTGCGTGGTCCTGATAAAGCACTCGAAATAAAGGTTGAATATGATGAAAATACCAGCCAAATAGCAATCGAGTGCGCAACACTCTGTGTTAGGTGAAAATTTCACTTGACACAAAGTGTAAAACGTTTCGTCTTCGATAACTCGCTGTATGGGAGAGCTGGGCTCCCGAGAGAACTGACTATGAAAAGA